ATATTTGGAATTTTACAGTGTTGACTTGTAACAAAGATTAATAGCAACAGTCGATATTATCCGGATGGAAACGGTTCCATCGTTACCAAAACTTTATGCCTAATCAACACCAGGTGATTGTATAAGATTTAGTTAGATTGTTCTCAGTTCTATTCGTTTTAACGTTTTTACTTTCCCATTGGAAATGGTCGATTAAAGGATGAATTCCTTTGATATTTGACCTGAGGTAGGTCAAAAGTCATATATAAAGAATTCCAACATATTTTCTGGGACTTTTGTGTTCGTACATACTTTGTTATCTATAGTTATACTTATCAATTTAAAACGGCGAATTTTATAACGTTTTGGAAATTTTGTTTGTTTTATTTCTCTTGAGTATAACTTTAAAAACCTTGGTTAGATTTCAGCTTCATTTTTATGACACAAATCACAATGTCAAATTTGTGAATTACGACTTGGTTGACTACTTTCCTGAATTTTTAGTTGCAAATATTATTCTTTTGCATTTAAACCCACATGAAGAAGATGAACCTTTATGTGTGAAGAGATACAACATGTCTCTGACATGGAACGACTATGGCCGGCTTGCCATTATTGATAACTTGCAAAAGCTTGATGCTCTTGTCAAATATATAGCGACGTAGATACAAATAAAGGTAATATTAGCCCGCATCGCTCATTTGGTTGAAGCGGACTTATGGTCGAAAAATGTTGTCCGGTAACTGATATCTGCTTCTCTGATACCTTTCAGAGTGAAATGTTGTTCGTAGGATACATGTCAAAATAACTTTGAAGCTTGATGTTATTGGAAAATCATTACGATATAATAAAAGTAAAAGCATCCGTCAGTGGTATTTGACCAATGAAGGTGGCTGGTGAAAATATAGATGGAAATAAATGTCGAAATCCAGAATACATTTAAAATGTGTTTCTTAAAAGGGAATTTAGATTGAAGATGACCTCACTGGAATATCTTTACAGTGTATCGTATGTTATGCCAGCTATTTGTTTGCAGATACAGCAGGATGGGTAGGTCTAAACGACATAGTCAATGAAGATACGTGGCTATGGGTGAATGGAGCAAATCTAGACAGAACCTATTGGTCACGCGTCGTCCTCAACAACTACCAAAGAAGTTCTACAATAGACAAGCATAACGCTGACTGTGGCTGGATGCATGGCAGGATTTCCATGATAATAACTGTTTAAGTCAAATGCCATTTGTGTGTGAAATACCATACCTTATATAGAATCACGTCGTCTTGGAAAAGACCATTTATCTTTTACTGGCTATGTAGAGATTCTATCACTGACAAACAAACACATATCGCCATCAGTATAAGCATTTGACTGCATTAGATGTTTTTCCTTAAATATGTTGTCTTTGTAAGTGGATATGTTCAGTGATAGCGTTACATATTACATATCAATTGTAACATAACAATGAAAAAGGGAAATGGCAATGTGTTAATGTTGTATCTATGAAATAAAATATGTTCTAACGTCCATTATTCCCATTGTTGTTATAGTATTGATTTTATTTTTATATCAGTTCTTCTATGATATATAGATGTTTATTTGCCATTGATATGTATCGTCCCCTTCTAACTCCTCAGTCAATCTACATGTGTCATTGTCACTATAGAACATACATATGGACCGTCGATTTTGTATTGATGTCACATCCCTATGCCATGCGTGTCACCATAATCGGTCTTCCAAGATTTTACAATCACTTTCGGTCTCTGCTTCCCGGGAACATTTCCAGGCAAAATTGAAGGCGCAAGCTGAGTTATTTGCTTGGTCAAGAGTGTGTTACTATTGAGAAAAAAACTGACCAACCACAGAATGATACGCTCCTTTGAAGATTACAAAGGAGAAACACCCATTTTCAAAGCCTTTACAGAATACAGTGATGTAACCTGACCTCGGTATTCGTTTTGGGTACATGTAAGCTTGAAACAAGTATTGTTTTTATCCACAAAGCGTTGTACATGGAACTTTCAACCGTTCAGGGGTGTACAAAGAAAGACAGTGAATATCTGGAGTATCGAGGATGCGGCCTAACAAAGTGTCAACATAGCATTTAGTCTATCACGCATATAACAACGGCATTATAGGACGAAAAGATGGAAACAAGATAGAAACATTGAGGATTATACAAGAAGTATACAGACCGCGTAGAATGTGTAGGTGTTCATTAATATTTCAACATCACGTAGTTTGTACATAGTTTTTAAAGCTGGAATGAGTTTTATGATAAAGAATTTTATGTTATCACGAAGCAGACAAATTCCTCCAAGATAGTAAAGAGATATAGATAGTAAAGCAAAATAATGAATTTAACTGCCTATTAGCTACCAGTGGTGCTAAGGAATTAGAATGTGAAACATATGAGGACTATCATTATCAATCGAAAAAAACAATTCTAGTTTTAGAAGGGCAGGTGCACTAGCTCCGTATTTTTGAAAAAGTCAAAAACCCATAATTAGATAAATTTCGTAATTTTTTGTACATTCTGAAACGTGTAACTTTTCGAATGAATTATAATGTGGCATGCATGTTAGGGAAACCTCAGGGAATTAAAGTCCGATTGGTAAATCACTAACATCATATCATTTAAACATTAACATAGAGTCTGTAAAAGCGGATTTAAGGACAATCTAAATCAAATTGTTCTAGTACTAAAACAGGAACCCACAAAAGTGGAAGAAAATGCTGCGTCTAACAAAAAGGAGTTGGAATAAAGATTGTTTCTTCGCTATACAACGTCCACTAAATTAGTAATTAGCATTGTAAAATCCTGGAATTTGCATTGTACGTTTTGATATTCAGAATCGTGCGGTATACCATATACAGCACGTTCTCAATAACATTGTTTAGAAGCGTGTGGTATATCATAAACATATTCACAGTGACATTTTAAAGCGGCTATTACCTTAAATTTCAACATCGGGAAATGGAGAATTCGGCTTATGAACAATATAATATATCCATAATAAAGCGATACATGCGCCTATAACGTCAAATTTGTTGTTTATGTACATATGTTCGGCGTCGGAACATTGTTTATCTTGACTATTGTTTATAAACATGTTAACGCTCGGTTTATTACGACGAAAGCCGAGTGGGTCACATGGCTTGTCAGGAGACGAAGTCATTTACTTCCGCTGCAAAGAAAAAATGGATTACGAGGAAAGTATAAACAAATGCACATGTCTTATGTATGACACTTGCTAATTTTTGTTTGCAATAAATTATTCTATAGTGTTATAATGTATAATTTTTAACAATCAATCTTAGTAATTCGTTTTGTTTTGGCTTGTCGTGTGAGAATTGTCTATGTCAATCGCGGGCGCTATAATAGTGGGACCCCAAAGGGGGTTATTACAATCGGAAAAGAAAAAAACTCATTGTGCAGAAATTGACAGGAATTGATACTTTGTCTGTACACATTAATATATATTGTTTACCATCCATCATGTCTCTATGTGTTTATCATGAAGGTTATGTTTGTCATCACGGTCGTTATTCTCACAATAACACCAGTACCGTCATATTTTCACACTTAAAACGAAAGCCCCCAATTGGGCCTCACTTTGCAGTCAACAACAAACACACGTTTTCGATAGTAAATTCAAGAGAATAACAGAACTATGTGTTGTATATATGTGTATAATTCCATGTAGGTGCGTTCCGTTTCATTTATGCTGAATGGAAATTGTATTCACCTACATGCGGGACCGGAAGTCTCGTTGTGGATATCTTGTTATTTTGTAATAAACGTGGTTCCTGTTACACGGTGGTCTGGTTTTGATATACATGATATGGTGTCAGAATGGAGACGTTAAAGCCGCCCCCACCACTCATTTTTGAAGGCAACGTAGCGGAAAACTGGAGGAGATGGAAACAAAGGTTCCAATTTTACCTTGAGGCTACTGAGCCGGACAAAAAATCGGAGACAAAGAAATGTGAGTTCGCTGCACTTCACGAGAGTCTAATCAAGGACAGAATTGTGGGAGGAATAGTGTCAGATACAGTAAGAGCTAGGCTTTTAAGGGAACCTGAACTTTCATTAGTTAAAGCAGTTGAAATTTGTCGTATTGCCGAGTCTACAAACGCCCAAATGAAAGACTTGAACGAGACCGGAAGCCACGATGAAAACAAAGTTAGTGCAGTAAAACAGAACAAGCTTGTTCATCCGTCAGGTAATACGAAGTCTAAATTCAAGCCCAGTCAGAAAAAGTTTGGACAAAGACAGTACTTCCCAGAAGACTGGTAAAGCCTGTGGAAGGTGTGGAATTGAACATGCCCCGAGGCAGTGTCCTGCACATGGGAAAACATGCTATAAATGCGGAAATAAAAATCATTACAAATCTATGTGTAGAAATGGAAACCAGACTGTAAACCATTTATTTATTGGTGTTGTAAATCGTCAAAGAAATCATGGTAGGGAAACAACATTGAATGTTAACAACTACATGATCAATTTGAAGTTGGACACCGGTGCAGAGGCAAATGTGTTACCTGTGAAAACATTCCGGCAATTGAAAGGAAATGTGAAACTACAACAAACAGATGCTAGGTTGTCAACATACAGTGGACAAAGTATTCCGAAAGTAGGAAAGTGTTTTCTGATGTGCAAGAACAGACACAGAGAAGCGTATGTGGAGTTTTTAGTCGTGAAACTCAACTCGATGCCAGTGTTGAGTCAACAAACATGTGAGGAATGGAACTTGGTGAAACAGGTCAAGGTCGATGTAGTAAATTCCAACAAGCAGTCGAGTGTACTGGACAAATTTGATGCCTTATTCAGTGATAAACTGGGTTGTTTACACGGTGAGCATCATATTGAGATTGATTCAACTGTGAAACCTGTTGTACATGCTCCACGTCGTTTACCTGTAGCCTTGAGAGATAGAGTGCAGGAGGAACTTACTCGCATGGAAGATCTTTAAGTAATAACTAAGGTTGATGAGCCTACAGAATGGGTTAGCTCTATGGTTGTCGCAGAAAAACCTAATGGCAAGCTACGCATTTGTTTAGATCCCAAAGATCTAAATGTTGCTATAAGACGTGAACATTATCAGTTACCTACATCTGAGGAAGTTAGTAGCATGCTGTCAGGAGCAAAATATTTCAGCAAGCTGGACGCAAGTAGTGGTTTCTGGCAAGTCAAGTTAGCTGCTGAAAGTTCCAGGTTAACAACATTTAACACCATTTGGTCGGTATTGTTTTCAGCGGCTACCATTTGGGATCAAAAGTGCATCCGAAGTTTTTCACAAGCGGATATGTAACATTCTTCAAGGTATCCGAGGTGTCAAATCCATAATTGACCACATTCTTGTATGGGGAGAAACACTTAAGGAACACGAACAGAGGCTTGAGCAAGTATTGAACAAATTACAAGAATCAAATGTGACCCTGAATAAGGACAAATGTAAAATTGGGCTGACAGAGGGTGTGTATTTTGGGCACAAATATTCAGGAAATGGAATACAGCCTGACGAAGCAAAAGTAAAGGCGATTGTGGAAATGCCTACACCTGAAGACAAGAAAGAGTTACGGCGTTTCCTGGAGATGATAAACTATTTGGCAAAGTTTGTCAAGGACCTGTCAACAATTTCTGCAACGCTTCGTGCTCTATTGAAAAATGATGTGTTGTGGATTTGGGAATCGTGTCATGAGGAATCATTTAATGCTCTCAAAGCATTAGTAACAAACACACCTACATTACAATATTTTGATGAGAAGAAGTCTGTCAAGCTGTCTGTAGATGCATCAAAGTATGGTTTAGGAGCTGAAAGACCAGTCGAGTATGCGTCAAAAACACTTAATGAAACCCAAAAAGGCTATGCACAGATAGAGAAAGAACTGCTGGCCATAGTATATGGATGTGAACGGTTCCATCAATATGTCTACGGTAGAGAGGTCTTAGTAGAGACTGATCATAAACCTCTTGTAACAGTGGTGAAAAAGGCGATAGGGGAGACAACTCCCAGACTTCAACGACTTCTCATGAGGTTACAGCGATACCAGATACGAGTCATTTATAAACCAGGAAATGAAATGCACGTAGCAGACCAGTTGTCAAGGTCACCTTTATCACACCAGGAGAGTGAGGATGTTACTGCGGATGTAGAGGCTCAGATTCATCTAGTGATGAACAGTCTACCTGTAACCACGACCAAAATGGACAAGTTTCAAAGGGAAACACTCAAGGACCCAAGCCTGCGAGAATTAAGTAATATTACACAAGAAGGATGGCCAGATGACAAGCATCAAGTACCAAAGAGTGTACAGCCTTATTTCAATGAAAGAGCTGACTTAACTGTAAGTAATCACATCATATTCAAAGGTGATCGTATTGTTGTTCCTACAACCATGAGGAAGGCAATGCTGAAGGTCATACATGAAGGTCATTTTGGCATGACGTCGTGTAAAGCCCGTGCACGTGAAGCATTATACTGGCTAGGGATAAGTGGTCAGATTGAGGATTTTGTATCCAAGTGTGACATTTGTTGTACTTTTCGAAATGCAAATACACGCGAACCACTGAAACCTCACGACATACCTACAGGGCCATGGGAAAAGGTAGGGACAGATTTGTTCCAATTCGAAGGACAGATTTATTTGCTGATAGTTGACTACCATTCTAAGTTTGTGGAGATGTCGATACTGAAGGACACTCGCTTAACAACGGTGATAAATCACATGAAGTCTTTATTTGCACGTTACGGCATTCCAACCGAGGTCATTTCGGATAATGGTCCGCAATATAGTGGGAGAAAATTCAAGCAATTCAGCCGAGAATGGAAGTTCAAACATGTCACCAGTAGCCCATATCATCCACAAAGCAATGGTATGGCAGAGAGATCTGTACAAACAGTTAAAAACATGCTTCAAAAAGCTGTGAAGGATGGAAAGGATCCATATTTGGCATTGTTGGAGTTCAGAAATACACCAGGAGAAACAGGCTCATCACCAGCTCAACTGTTGATGGGACGTCGTTTAAGGTCTTTACTCCCGATGTCGTCGAAGCTGTTGAAGCCATCAACTCGCAATATCAAGGCACATAAAAGGATGAAAAATCAACAAAAACAACAAAAGGTGTATTATGATAGAAAATCAAAAAACACTTCAGCCATTAAAGAAAGGTGACAGTGTGAAGTACAAAAACAAAGGAATGTATCAGTGGGAAACAGCCAGAGTGATTGGTATAAAGGATGATTGTTCGGATGAGATGCAGACACCCCAAGGAATTGTTCTAAGGCGCAACCGGGTCCATTTATCTCCATCAATGTCCTCTGAGGTTTTTACATTTGAGGAAATTGGAGATGACGAGTTCGTAGAGATTCCTGATGATTCACTATCAACCTCAGACAGCCATGATGAGGATTATGTTAAATCAGACACAGGATCCGAGGAGGAGGATGATGAGTTTTTTGAGCCAGAGCTCGACTCCGAACCAACTTATACACGTGTAGGGAGACGAGTACAAGTACCAGAAAGATTCCGAGATTATGTGATGAACTTTCAGAAGAGAAAAAAAAAGAAAATATGAACTTGGCTCTGATTATATATATCTATATGTTACAAAGCTTATGAACTTGGCAAAGTGAACATATAATTCCATCAATTATAGTGTATGAAATTGACTTGGATATTCACATATAGGATAAGAGTAATTGATTTGAGGAATGATACATGAAAGTATCAAATCAAGAATAGTGAGCTTGGATGATAATCTTCTTTTATTAAAAGGGGAGATGTTGTATATATGTGTATAATTCCATGTAGGTGCGTTCCGTTTCATTTATGCTGAATGGAAATTGTATTCACCTACATGCGGGACCGGAAGTCTCGTTGTGAATATCTTGTTATTTTGTAATAAACGTGGTTCCTGTTACACGGTGGTCTGGTTTTGATATACATGATAATGTTCATTCAACATTTATCAGATAACACTTTTAGTAGTGTTGTTCATAACATATTCATGCGTCTAACACAGGCAGATACGATATAATTCAGAATCCGTATTCAGTCCAAGATCTTCCTTCATCTTTCTCCATCTATTGATCTCCTGTCTAATATAAATTCTTGCCTGTCCTCTTTTCTGGTCTGGCTCCTTTCCCTTACGCTTTCTGGCACTTTCTGTAAGGTAACTTTTAGGTCCTCGTCTCCTTTTCGTATTTGAATCGTATTAGATCAAGACCGCACTGTTTACATTCTTTATTTTTTAGATATCAATAAAAATGGTTGCAGTGACATTCAATTTTAGTAATTGACAGAAAGTCTTAGATTTGTAACATACTATTGGAAAATAGAACGTTTTATATTGTTTTCTCGTAGTGTTTTTTAACATTATAGTCGCTTTAATATTTAATATTATTGTGCAGTATACGATACACAACACGTTCACAGTAACATTGTTGTGTTCAGGATTGTGGGGGTATACCGTATGCATCACGTTCAAAGTAGCGTTTTAATATTTAGGATTGTGCAGAATACGATATATAACACGTTCATAGTAAAGTTTTGATATCATGATTGTGCGGTATACGATATATATGTTTACAGTAACGTTTTAGGATTGTACAGTATATCATACACAACATGTTCAAATAACGCCGTAATAATCATGCCTTTGCGGTCTACCAACGACAATACCTTCACAGTCAAGTTTTTCGGTATATCATGCATAATACCTTCACCGTAGAACTGTGCGGTACACCATGCGCAGCACATTCATAGACATAAAGTATTCTCAACACGTTCACAGTAATGTTGTAATATTCAAGACTGTGCAATATCCGTTTCATAGCACGTTTCTAGTGACGTTGCAATGTGAGAGCGTGCAAAAAACGACATTGCATCATACACTTTATATCTTAAATAACGTTGTAATATACAATAGTGTGCGGTAAGTAATACACAATACGTTTTCAGTAATGATACAATGTGAACATTACAACTAAAAGCAACGTCAGAAAAAAAGGCGTTTTACGCGATGACAAAAGGTGTGATTCGATTGTAACAGCAGATTCAAGACGACAACTGTAGAGATTGCGTCGCGTACCGTAGGTACTCATGGCAGACACATTGGTTCTCAAACTGGCAGGAATCGCTTGCGTGCCGTCGTTATGTCGGTCTTCCTCTGACAAGTGTGTCTTGACTGGATGCAAAGACAAGGCTAAAATAAGTTTGAGATACGTCGATGGAGGCGTGTTCGCTCACCGACGAATATAGATTCTGTCTGTATCGCTCAGACGGAAGAAAAAAACGTATATCGTAGACGCAATGACCGTTTCGCCGACGCATACGTGGTTGAACGCTACAGATTCGATGGGGCCTCTGTAATGTGAGGCATTTATCATGGAGTAAAATAGCATTTAGTGGCCCAAACCTCAATACCGTTTGGTACAGCGACCAGTTCCTCCAACCACATATCCTTCCACTTCTCAAACGTCATAACCTAATTTCCCAGCAAGAAAATTCTCGACAGCATGTTGCCAGAGTCTGTCGTGATATTCTCACGGCAAACAACGTTAACCTCTCGAATGACCCCCATAAAGCCCTGACATGTCTTCGATTGATCATCTGTGGTATGAGCTTGACAGGCGTATTAGGAAACGTCAAAAAAGCCCAACTAACCGCGACCAGTTGCAACCAACATTACACAAGAATGGAGCATTCCCTTAAGGCGAATAAATATTCTCATGAATTCAATACATAGGATAATCCGTGCATGGATTCGTGTAAATGATGCCCCCGCCAGGTGTCATTTTGTTTTTCGCCGGTATTCCACTTTGCGTAACTACTGACGACACGAGTATCTACAATATTGTAACGAGCAGACTTGTCCCGTCACAATGATATAAGATTTTGTACAAATTTCCCTAAACGTCAGAGCCGTTTGATTGCATAACTTAATTGTGCGTTTCTTTTTTTTTTTTTTGTTGAGTATACATTTTGATTTTAATATATAACCTTTGATCCTATAACTTAAACAATGTTTAGTCTAATCAATAACATATTGATGTGCAGTCAAAAGTATGTTATATCATAATATGAGTTCAACAATGTTTAGTCTAATAATATGATATACTACATTATTTTACACTGCGTAGTCAAGCAATTAACATATCATGTTATCAGTTCTGCAATATTTAGTCTAGTATATAAAATATGTTATATATCATATATTTACTTCTGGATTTTGTATATGTGATAGGTCTGAATTTTTTACAAGATGATAACATCACAGTTGATCCCTTATTTAACTCACATATTGACTTTTAATAGTTCATTGTATGATCAAAACTTGTTAAATGTTAAATATGTTGATGTGTAGTAGATTAACTGTATGCCTCTGGCTGCTGGCCAATACATTATTTTCCACTGGTCGATAGATGTCAGTTATAAATCAAGCTGTTCTCATTCTGGCATTTGAATTATGAATAAAAATCTGAAAGATTTCTAACCGAATCCAATTTTGGATATGTACTTGACTCACATATTAGCTTTTAAATAGTTAACTGCGAACGCGAAAAGCTAAGTATGACTACAAGGACTAATGAGAACGAGGCAATTTTACAAGAACTTGCGAGAATAGTTGTTGAGTTGGATATGTTCAAGAAATAAATATGAGAAAAGGAATATTGTTATTATATGACTATTATCAAACCCCTTATCATGACTCTCGGGCTGATAAGGGGTGTGATATCAAAATGGTCATGTCTCTAAATATCATTATATAATGTGTAGTCAAACAATAAACATGTTAACATGTTAATTAACACTTTGACTTGCCAATATACAAGTTGACAAGGTGACTAAAGTGACATTTTACAGACATGCATGAACATAGCATCACAGATATATCTATTACAACACTGAAGAATAATAAGTCGGGACTACAAGCTTAATGAGATACATGCGTATCAAAATTTGCAGATTACAATTGGATGCTCATACATATTTAAAATCTAAAAAAGAATTCCCTCAGTTGTAGTCGTATGAATTACCTATATTTAAAATTTTTCAGGGATGACTTGTAATTAATTTTGATAACAACAACCGATATTATTCATGTGGAAAATGTTCCATCGTTACAAAACCTCATTCCTAATCAACATAAAGTGTTTGTATAAGATTTCTTTAGATTGTTCCCTGTTCTATTCGTCTCAACTCCTTACTATAGAACACATCTAGTTAAGGATGAATTGCTTTGATGTTTGACCGGAGGTAGATCAAAAATCACATGAAATGACTTCAAACATATTCTCTGGGACTTTTGTGTTCTTACACACTTTATCATTTGCAGTTGTACTTATCAGCTTAAAAGGGCAAACTTTATAACGTTTGTACGGAAGTTTGTTTGTGGACTACTTTTTGACGGTGTAGTTGACAGCGCTCTTCGGTTTGCTATACGTTTACTGGTTACTAGTGTATTTCTCTTGAGTATAACTTTAAAAACCTTGGGTAGATTTAAATTTCATTTTGATGAGTTATCACCACAAATCACAATGTCAAATTTGTGAATTACGACTTGGTGGACCACATTCCCAGATTTTTAGGACCAGAAAAATAAATATTTCAGCTTGATCTTGGAAAAACTGAAAATTGTAAAATTAAAGCACATCGACCCCCTCATTTTTAGTTATGAAAAATATCCTCGAAAATACTAGAAGATTGTGAAATATTGGATGTAGGTCATTTCAAAATATTTTGTTGGTTGCTCTGCAAATAAAAGTTCGTTAAAGCAGATGAACAGTTAGCTATTTCTTTCTTACTATATTAACAATATAATCTTTTCTTCTAACTTAAGACGAAGATCTGTTGACGAAAGGTTGCCACGAAATTATAAGGGAATATCTGTTATTCTGGAATAAAAAAAACAAGAACAATATGGGAAAATTAATAACTTCCTGTTACACGTATTCTGACGCCTGTACTAGAAAAAGTTGTACAGCAAACGTTGTTTTTTTGCTTTTAATCCACTTTCCAAAGTTAATTATTTCAAAACTCATCATTAGAAAAAAGTATTGATACTGGAATTTTCTTTATTTCTCAGAGGAGTTCACATTAAATACACCGAATCTCAAGCATTCTAGGCTATTTTATAACAGGTGATAATTCTTGGAGATTTTGAATCTCTG